GAGTGAACCAAGAGCTGGAGATCTACCTCCGCTGCTTCACTGCCAATGACCCGGATAAGTGGGCTGACCATCTTCACACCGCGCAATTTGCTCACAACTCCCGCGAGCACTCCACGACGAAGGCGTCCCCGTTCAAACTCATGATGGGATACGAACCTCGTGGAATACCCACCGTGCACCCCGGATCAAACACGCCCCAAGCAGCTTATCGCCTCAAGGACTTGCAAAACATCTGCGAAGAAGCACATGCGGCAATGGAGATGGCCCAGAACGTCCTGGCCAAGAGAGTAAAAAGGAAGGGGGTTCCTTCCGTAAAGGTCAGCTGGTATGGCTAGATTCCCGGAACTTGAAGCTGCCGTACCGTCCAGGAACTAGCCCCGAGGCGAGCCGTTCAAAGTCCTAGACAAGATCGGAATGGTCGCGTACAAGCTAGACTTGCCTAGCACCTGGCGAGTCCACCCGTTTTCCACGAATGGCTTCTATCTCCCTACTCGGAAACGGAGATCCATGGTCCGAACTACACGAGGCCACCCCTTGACCTTATCGAAGGCGAAGATAACTACGAAGTCGAAGCCATCATCGGACGCCGAGAGAACAAGAGGATGCGACGCCGCGAATATCGCGTCAGGTGGAAAGGTTACTCAACAGCCGATGACTCATGGGAGCCCGAGGCGAACCTGACTGGAACGGCTGACGAAGTGTTGGCAGAGTATAAGAAGAGGAAGAACTTGAGCTGAGTCGATAGCAGCTCTACCCAGTCGCTACATCCCCACTCGCACCAACATGTCTTCCACCCTTTCGTTCCTCGACCAGTTCAATGCCCCCTCGACCGAGGGCGGAAAGAGGATCTCAATCTACACCCCTAAGCACACCCATGTCGGTGACAGCGCTTTGCTGACGCTACTCCTCAGTAACCCCACTGACGTCTTCAATAAACTCAAAACCCACAACCCCGAGGCAACCAATGCCACTGACCGCGCTGCACTAGAAGCGTATCTCTCCGCCCACTGTGACTATGACGAGGCTGTCAAGGCAGCCAACGAGGCCATCGACCACCACAAGCGGCTCCTACGCCAACAGGACGACCGCATCCTCACCGAGCTCATCCGGCTCGACAATTTGAAAGTTGCCCATCGCTTTCAACCGCTCCTACCGCGCAACCTCCGGGCGCGACACAACAAATTCATCCCACGCGCCATCCCCAATGTGTACCTACCCCTACCCGCACCCCTACCGACGTCTGCCTTCAGGCGCCCCCGATCCCATCCCCTTTTCTCCAAGCAACGCCGCGGAGCACTACCATCCCGGCTGACTGGCAACCCAACCCTGGTTGGACCCCAAAGGGAAGCTGTAGGCGATGCGGATCGTCTCGACACTGGGTACGGGACTGTCTGGACGTACGATGCGCAGGATGCGGAAAAGAAGCCCCTGGACACCTGGAGCGGGAGTGCAGAACCAGGCCGATGAAGCGACACATATCCGCACCACCTGAAGAACCTGCGCGACGCGTGGGGGTGGTCGTCGACAACGTGTTCCTCGAAGGAATCATCAACGAGGCGAAGGAGAGGAAGGAAAAAGAAAGACAGACGAAAGCGGTACCTATTCCTCCACCATGCAGCGCTAACCCCGAACCCCCGACCAGTCCCATCGCGGGACCTTCGCACCCCCGCCCCGATACACCTGTCGTCTTTCGCAAAGTCGACCCCGACTGGACACCCGACGTCACTCAATGGACATGGGACAGCTCCTGGCCGAATCAGAAGCACCTCTCTGGCGAGGAATGGTCGAACGTAGGGAGGAACGCGCGCAAGGAGTGGTTCGATGAAAAGGAGGACAATAGCGTAGATTGGGAGTTGTATGGAGATGGTGAGCAGTAAGTAGTCGAATGGGACTTCGACTCTGGCAGGGGGGTAATGAAACATTTGTCTTTCCGTTCTATTTCTTGTACTACTAGCGCCCATACTGGCGCCTGTCTTAGCGCTCACCCGCAGGTTGAACATTATGTAGCTTACATAATGGGGTCCGTGCGCACTTCGTGCCTGGTA